AACACAAATCAAATGGCTAAACTGCCACCTCAGCATGCAGTCAAGATCTATAGACTTGCTAATGACCTATTAATTTTATTCAGGGGTGTTGTAGCAGGGACACTTGTGCTTGACACTACGTGCTTGCCGAAGCAAGCACGTAAATTGGATACGATACAGAGAAGATTAGCATGGCCCCTGTGCAAGGATGACACGCAAATTCGTGTAGCAGGGACACATGTTAAAATTTAAGGACACCGGGCCTGGAGGACTGGAGTTTGACCCGTGTGCTTTAGAGCAAGTCTGGCTTTTTAGCAGCAAGTCCAAGACTTGCGCAGCACAATATATGATACGCACACAAGAGAAAATTGTTAAGAGGGTGTTGTGTTGCAGGATTGTGAAAGGTTGTCTTCTAATATTTGGAAAGTAGGAAGTCCCATTATGACCTAATGTCTCATCTCAGAATGTAAAAAAACCTGAATTTGTTTCAGAAGTGAAAGTTTAGTAGATGAAGATTTAAAGTATTCATGTTTCAAATGTTCAAATGCAGATGACTGTGATTAGACAGTGGCCAGCTTCACACAGACTGATTTTGCTCATACTTTTAGAAATATAAAACCAGCCAGCGATATTCATTTATGAGGCATGTTTCACAGACAGGAGGATAAGAAGCAATTAATAATAAACAGGAGAAATATATACAAAACAAAAGAAAAGGCTACGGAGCCCCGCAAGGGACATTGGAGGAAAAAAAATTAAGATGAACTTTTGCGAGATCCAGAGTTAATTTGGTGAAATCCTGCAAAAGATTTTGTGAGATCTCGCAAAAGTAACTCAGGAGCTATGTCCCAATCCCTAGGCTGCATCCTTCGGAGGCCGCATTTGAAGGCCGATTATGTCACAGCCAGGCGATGAAGGCTGTCCCAATAAATGTTCATAAAAATTTTTTGCTGTGGAAATTTTGGGAGGCATTCAGCAACTCATGCACGCTTCTCAAGAGTTGGTGAAAGGTTTGGACTGCAGACAGGCCAGTTGGTTCTGGGTCTGGTGACCCAGTGTCCATGTGGTTTTGTGCATGATTGGTATTCCTTGGTTTTGCGTAATTTTTTTTTCTTTTCAAACCACGAAACGGTTTCATAATACTGTCCGATACCACAATAAATAATTTTCTGTTGTAACCCTCAAATGTTAAGGTAACGACAATCATTTTTCACTTTCTCACAAAACTAAAACATCTCTGCTTCCACGTCTAATTGTCTGTAATGGAGGTGGAGTAAATTAAACTGGATCCGCATTCTGTGCCCAACTAATGCTTGCTATGCAGGGGGAACAAATTTTGTTTGGGATGCCCACCTTGGCACAACTCCTGGTTTGGCCGCATGTAGCGAGGCTCCAGATGCTTTCAGTGTGAACTCCAGATCGCCAACAGGTCTCGTACACAACAGCCGCCTTTCACGTGCGGCTCCGACGTGCTAAGGTCACTACCTGAGTTACACCATGTCGCAAGTTTTGTGAGATACTGTATATCGGATTGATCCATCCCTAGTCTTGTGTTTTGTGAGTCTTGCAAAAAAAAGTTCAGCATTCCAACTCTCATTAAAGCCATGGAGCTATAATAGATGCAGTATGTGGTTCAGCATTGTCCTGCAGAAATATGCAAGGCATTCTCTGAAAAAGACCTCATCTGGATGGGAGCGTGCGTTCCTCTAAACCCTATTAACCATTCAGCACTGATGGTGACTTTCCTGATGTGGCAGCTGATAATTCCTTTAACACTAATGCACCCTGATCATGTTCATGAGTAGGTCCTTCTCTGAACGATGGAGCAGAGCATGTCTTTGTCCTGTCGTCATCCACTCGCACCAAACCAGCTGCCGCAGATGGCCACCCCTACCTGAGCCTGGTTCCGCTGGTGGTTTCTTCCTGTTAAAAGGGAGGTTTCCCTTCCCACTGTCACCAATAGGGGGTCATATAATTGTTGGGTTTCTCTCTCTATGTATTATTGTAGTGTCTGCCTTACATTATAAAGTGCCTTGAGGTGACTGTGGTTGTGATTTGGCACTTTATAAATAAAATTGAACTGAATTTTATTAATGTGAATCTGAACTCTCTGATATTCATGTCTTTGATGTTCCAGTATCTCTAATGTGGTGTCACACAGTGACTTTTTATTCCTGTCAACAGTAAAAATGGAAATAACTGTGTGATGGTAGGAAGAGGCTTCATAATAAAATCAGACAGGAGCCTGAAGTTATGCTAGATTGCTTTGTGGTTATTTGGCGCCATCTGCTGGTTAAAGTTCTAAACTACAGTTCAACTGTTTCCATTATAGCTCAAATAGAACCGAGAAATTATAGATTTAAAACATAGAATCAATTAAAAGTTAGTAGAAAAAAAAATCTAATATTCTTCACTAGTCATCAGTGATGACTGGTGTCCACCCTCAATCTCTTTGTATGTATCTCAGGGCTCGTGGTCTACTTTAGGATCAAGAGATAAAGATCAAGGGAAAAGCTTTCACATAAATTTAAGTCATATAAAATGAATTCACATAAAACGAAAAACAAACAAACACACACATTAAGTAATTATTCCCCAAACATTACATATAAGGAAAAAACTGACTTTGTACAATTCAAACGAGCTTAAAAGTCGATATTTGGTATATTTTGATATGACTGCCTTTCACCTTTATTCTTAAGCAGTCTGAACTCTCTGAGGCAACTTTCTTTAACTTCTTTAAGTATCTTCAGGCATTGTTCTCCAGGCTTCTTGAAGGACATTTAAAACTCTTCTGTGGATGTTTCTGCCTTTAGGTCTCTCCTCTGTTAGGATGATCCCACACTTCTTCAACAATCCTGAGGTCTGAGAGAGGCCAATCCATAACTTACAGTGTTCCATTGTGTGTTGTTTCAATCCAGCCAAGGTTACGCTGAAAAATGAAGCTGTTGCCAATCAGGTGGTTTCCATTTGATATTGCATGGTGGATCAGAATCTGATGGTACTTTTCTTTGTTCATAATTCCAATTCCAAACAGCACTGCATCCTATCTGATTCACTGAAGTCCAGTTCTTGTGCAATTTTCATAGCTTAGCCTCTTCTCTCTGTTTACCTTCCTCAAGAATGGCTTCTTACCCTTCCAGGGAGACCATATCCGTTGAGGCTTCAGTGAACAGTAGCTGGATCAATGGAAAGTCCAGATGCATCTCTTGGGTTCAGGTCTTTGCTGGATTTCTTCCTATTTTTAAAGGACATGACTTTCCTATACTGATCATCTGCTGTAGATTTGAGGGGGATTGTTTTAGGGCTGAGACTTTATCCGTCAATTTTTTAAGGAAATGCTGCAAACCATGCTCAGTTGTTGGTGCAAAAATAAAAATTTATGGCTGAAAAATTGTTGCTATTTTTCATAGATCCATCTAAAGAACATATCTTTTTGTGAGAGGTTGCTAGTAATGAAGTGGATAATGGAAAAACCTAGGAGTTTTTTTTTTATACTTGAATGATTCATAAACATTCTTCTAAGAATGGACAGATACAAGAACTGGACTGAAAACGAGTGCAAAAGCAGCCAGAGTCCAATGGACAACTTTTCCTTCCCACTCCTTCAGGAAGACTGAAGAACTATCGCTCAAGGACACTTTACAAAATTACAAGAAAGTCTGGTTACTTGGAGGCAAAACATAAAGTAGTGAGGGGATGCTGTACGGTACATTAATTATTAGGAGCATCTAAGTAGTGTTCAGACACGAGCAGCCCATTCAGTTTGTTCCTTGAGCTTCCAGTCAGATGTGAAGAAAAAATACATTTTGTTTTTCTTCAGCTAAAAGAAAAAAAAAAAAAGATCGGATTGAGATTAGAGGTATGAACTGACAGTGGCTGGAAGAAGATCGCTGTCTCTTTTAAAACACTCAAAGACATGCAGCTATGAACTCAGAGCAAAGCAACATGTGAAATACACACATCTGTTTTAATATATATGTTTAACATACATGTTATAGCTCAAAGTGCTGTACTCAACTTGCCTTATTCTCCCAAGCACTTTTTTCTATCGGTCATTCACACACATGTACTCACACTCGATGGATGCATGTTGGTACTTTAGTTCTGTCAAAGCTTACATTTCTGTGAGCAGCTTTTGTTGGGGAGAAGTTGTGATGCTCACTCTCTCGATTAAGTCTATTGCAGATCATTTCTGGCGTGTTATAATTGGAAAAACTAAATCCATCATAGATTTTTGCTAATTTGCATCTTTTTGACTGACTGCATTGCACCGCAAGCCTAAATCTTATTTTAAAATGAGCACTATCATTATTACAGAGATGTAAATGTTTATTTTCTGTGGATATTAAGTTTAGTCATTAATATTTTTGTTGTGCATGGGTTATTAATGGCAAGTATTTGACACATAAATACACACACTTTGTTAGGGAGCAAGAGTTTGTGTTGTGGTTTGTTTGTAGGAGGTAGAGGTGGGGCAGCTTGAGAGCGCAACCTCATTACATAACCAACTTGTAATTAAGTGTTTTTGGCACTTTACTAACTTGAATGCACACAGTCTCACGATTCAGTTCACTTCAGTTTTATGTATGTAGTGCCAAATTACAACAAGAGTTTCCTCAAGGTGATAATTCAGAGAAAACTGCAACAACCCCATATGAGCAACCACTTGGCAACAGTGGGAAGGGAAACCAAAGAAACTGGCCATCTGCCTTAACTGATTCGGGGGGTGAGTGGAGAGAAACAGGATAAAAGACAAACTGTAAAAAGGGAGACAACATTGGTGCAACAACATCTTGAAAGAAAAAAATAGTAAATGGGAAACCCCTCCAAAACAAAGCAAAAACAAACAAACAAACAAAGCAAAAACAAACAAACAAACAAACAAACAAAAAACAAAAAAAACAAACAAACAAACAAACAAAAAACAAAAAAACAAACAAACAAACAAACAAACAAACAAACAAACAAACAAACAAACAAACAAACAAACAAATATAAGGTTATATAAGTTTGCTTGATAAGCTTGATACCTTTTAACTGCTTCTTATACAAGCATGATGTGTGTGTGCATGACCTTCATAAAGGGAGTAGGCAGCCTTGAGAAGAACAAACTGCACTCAATGAAGGAAGCCACCTGTTGTTACAAGGATAACAACAACATCCTGGGAGGGCTGCACTCACATCGTATAACCACGCTTGCACAACACACTTTGTAACCATATATAGTAATTTCTCTTAGTT